TTGCATGGAAAAAAGACTACACGATCTACAAGGTTATAGAAAAAATCTGTCGTTGTTGTAGATTAACATTATATAAATGATCAGATAGTAAATGCCGATAATTCTGTTATGTTACTTGAAAAGACAATACAGTAAACTGGTTAGAATGGGTTTACTAAAATAGTGATGTTTGTGATTGTCTGCAATGACTCTATAACAGAAGCAAACACTCTATGGTACGTTTAATGTATTCCGTTAATAACATCGAACTTGGATTTGTTGAAATAGTACAAGATATATGTTTCTGGATTTATCCAGTTGTCATGAAACGAAGTAGGAAGTGGTTAAGATGGTAGATATATGATGAGTTCCAGATCAGCTGACCAGAAGTTGGATACATTCCATCATGAATAACTTAGATGATACAGGGATTCAAGACGAGTATTCTGACTGTCTTACAAAAACCTACAATGTTTCATTAAATTCCAGGAAAGCACGACAACTTTAACGTTTAAAGCACGTAATAATTTGGCAAGGTGCCAGGTTTACGTAATAGACAAGATCACCATTAAAGTAGATAAGGTACTTTATTCCAGCTGTCATGAATTTCTCACGCTAGTTGAAGGAGACAGAGGGTAATTACTGTCAGTGTTTGATTGGCAGCATACTTTGGTACAAAGAGTGCAACTTTTAAATCTGTCCGAATCTCTTTCTGAATTTTAAAATGTTCACGCACTAGGTAGCTGGTAAAGTGGTTGGGAAGAAAAGTGACTCGGAGTGGACTTGGTGGTTGAAAATACCGGCAGTGAAAGATAAGCATGGCTCAAATCTGGCAGTGAAAGATAAGCATGGCTCAAATCTGGCAATGAAAGATAAACATGGCTCAAATCTGGCAGTGAAAGATAAACACGGCTCAAATCTGGCAGTGAAAGATAAACATGGCTCAAATCTGGCAGTGAAAGATAAACACGGCTCAAATCTGGCAGTGAAAGATAAGCACGGCTCAAATCTGGCAGTGAAAGATAAACACGGCTCAAATCTGGCAATGAAAGATAAACATGGCTCAAATCTGGCAGTGAAAGATAAACAAGGCTCAAATCTGGCAGTAAAAGATAAACATGGCTCAAATCTGGCAGTGAAAGATAAACACGGCTCAAATCTGGCAGTGAAAGATAAACACGCCTCAAATCTGGCAGTGAAAGATAAGCACGGATTAAATCTGGCAGTGAAAGATAAACATGTTATATACAGTAGAGTACAGTTTAAATAGTTCTGTT